AAATAAATCTCCTTTTCGATAAACAGAGTTTATCGCCGCGCCGTTTGACCAATAATTTAGATAAACAATTTTTATCGAGCGATAAACAGTGTTTATCACTCGCTAAACATAGTTTATTTCGATAAACAGTGTTTATCGCTCGAGCCCCTGAGCCCAGCCGTGCTGCAGGCCCTGACATGCAGGCTTTTGAATAAGCGTTCTAAAAATAAAAATAAATGCCTTTTGCCACTCCCACACTTGTTTGGTAGGAGGGCAAGCCCCCCCCCCCCCCCCGCCCCCTGCCACCCCACTTCCGTCGCCTATGGAGATGTGATGGTGCTGGTGCAGTCTCATGTATGATTGAGTAATTGGTTTCCGACCTTGTAATTTTTGTTTAGATCTGGCAGCAGCGAGATAGATTTCATCATCTTTCCTAATGACGGAAGAGGAGGAAATATATTAAGAGAGTAAGCAGGACAAAAGTGTATGCAGTAAAAATGTACTAGAGGGGGAAGGGAGCAATATTAAATGAAATAAAGTTGGTGCCGAAATGACAAGGTAATATCGCTATTCAGAACTACAGAAAAGGGTTATTATTTATAGGCTCAAGGGTCGTTATTAACATGACATTATTGTTGTTAGTACTAATATTATCATTATTATTTTTGTTATCAGCTAATATCATTATAATTATCGTTATCATTATTGTGAAAATTGTTGTTGATGGCCTATCAACAAACAGTAATTAGCGTATTTCGTAAATCATTGATCATGATTTGACTCTCCAATATCGTTCAAATGGCACAAATAATAATGCATCACATGCAAAACCTATAAAATGTAAAAAGTAACAATTTAGTTGCCCCTCTAGTCCTCCTCCGGAGGACATACTGATCGAATCTCTTTGAGTGCAACTTGGAAAACCGCCCATTCCCGGCGGAATACGAATAACTCTGCTTTTCGATAAACAATGTTAAACAGAGTTTTCGGCGATAACCGTTGTTTATATCGCCGATAAACAGTGTTTATCTGAGTTATTGGTCAAACAGCGCGCCATATACGTACGCGCGGATTCAAGAACATAAATATTCATGCTTGACACAACGTCATTAATATGCATATTCATGACCTCCTTGTATGTGCCCATAGAGGCTACCATATCTTGTATACACTGAAGGTAGGCAATGTATTGGAACATGTAGCGTGCTGCGCACGTCACTACATGAAGGAAATGTCGACGCCCCTAATGAATATGCATTATGCCTGTGCCTGCACGGCGTGTGTACTGTATAGACTGTGTACACGCTGTACATGCATTACCTACACTATATAGGCTATTTCAGCACATCTGAACTACTGATTCTAGCTAGAGCCTAGAGGATGTATTTTACTACACTTGTATTGTTTTGAATACATTAATTACATCAAAAAGTGCATCAATTAAGTTATTGCATTTCTATATTTGTATTGGGCTGTTTTGACTACATACTTGCATCAATATTAAAGGTAATACAACGTTTTGGTATGGGGTCATATATTTGGTTCAAATGAACATATTAGAAGATCCTAGAATATTCCGTGATCGTTTTCGCGGTTGAAATCGAGTCTAAAGTTATGAAATGGTAAATAATAAACTCCTCATGTTGTAAAGCTCCCTCTCAAGGTCAAGATATTAAGTAAGCTATGAAACAATGTTTCTTGACTAACATCGACGGATTAGCTATTCCCGTTCGGAAATTATATATCACAACTACATATTCTGAAATTATCATGGTCGTAGCTACTATTGTACGGCCGTAGGCGCTATTTAAAATTTATCAAAATTTACCGGGAGCACCGGTAAATTGTTATATTCAATTTTATCTAAAGCAGATGTGTTTTAGGGACTAAATTTTCTAGTGCTTATAATACATCTACAGGGGCATCCAACTATTAACCCAATTTTCGAAATTTCCCAAAACTTTGTATTACCTTTAAGATAATGCATCTAACCTGTTCCAAACTGCATTTTGCGTGTTCCCAAATTTATATCTTTGGGTGATATTGTTTTGACTACATACTTGCATCAATCAATTTATTGCATTGTGCCTGTTCCAAGCTGCATGTTACATGTTCCAAAATTTCCATCCTTTGTATGGTTTTGACTATAAATAGGCCTACTTGCATCAAATGAGTTATTGCATTGTACTTGTTCCAAGCTGCATTTTAGTTGTTCCCAAATTTCTATCTTTGGGTGATTGTATTGTTTTTATTACACAGTACACACACACACAGGCGCGGATCCGGGGTCCAAAGGGTCCGCTCCGCCCCCCCCCCCCCCCTGACCAAAAAAAATGGGGGAAAAACGGAAAAAAACGAGAAAAAAAATTCTCACGAATTGGGGGAAGAAGAAAAAAAGGTGCTCCCACCCCCCCCCCCCCCCCCGCTTATTCACGCTGACTGAGGTGCCTCTAGATATTTGTTAACGATTTCCGCCCCTGCACACACATACATATATCATATACACTCCCATCAATTATAAGTTATTGCATTATACTGCATTTTAGGAATTCCAGAATTTCCATCCTTTGTGTTATATGGTTTTGACTATTCACACTTGCATCAATCGAGTTATTGCATTGTACATGTTCCAAGCTGAATGTTACGTGTTCCACAAGTTATATCCTTTGTATTACATGGTTTTGTCTACACACACATACTATACTCCCATCAAATAAGTTATTGCATTTTACCTGTTCCAAGCTAGGAGGCTAGGCACAGATCCAGGATTTCTTAGGGGGGAGGACCAAATTTGAAATCAATTTGAAATTTAGTGTGCTGAAATTTGAAAATCGTGCCGGCCGATCGTCCTCTGGATCCGCGCCTGTATGTGATGTATTCAAAATTATATGTAGTCAGAACCATACAATCCCCCAAAGACAGAAATTTTGGAACACGTAAATTGCAGCTTGGAACAGGTACAAAGCAATAACTTGATTGATGCAAGTATGTAGTCAAAACAATACAATCACACAAAGACAGAAATTTTGGAACACGTAAAATGCAGCCTGGAACATGTACATTGCAATAACGTGAATTCTGGGAGTTTGTAGACAAAACAATATAGTGCGTCCCAGAAAAAACGAAACCGATAATCATCGATGTTTTATCATAACTTTATCACAATCATTATTGATAAATGACACATATTTGGAAAGCTTAGACCCTCATAATTTGATGCAACTCATAATGATGCGTGTTTCACGCATGAGTGATTAAAAGCAATTTGAAGAGAGGAAACAAAAGAGTCATTTGGCGGGCGGTATCTGAATTTTAAAAGAAAAATTGCAATTCTAAAAAGTTCAACTTCTTCTCTTTCATATGACACCTCAATCAGGAAAAATGAGCAAGGAATAACAAAGTTATGTTTGTTTAAAGTAATGCTTGCATTTCCATAATTTGATCAAACGGATTCGTTTTTACTGGCTTTTTGCCGTTGCAACGAACAGAGTTGACAAAAGACTTAACTCCGTTTCGTTGACGACCTGCCATGTACAAAGAAGACGAAAGACCTGATGCATGGCTGATCTTCAACAAAACGGAGTTAAGTCTTTTGTCAACTCTGTGTGTTGCTATGGCTGGCAGCCAGTGAAAACGAACTCGTTTGATCAAATTGAAGATCAAAACAGAACGTTGTTATTCCTGGCTCATTTTTTCTGATTGAGGCATTGTTAAAAATATTGTGGAAATTGTAACTGCTTCAGATGGATTATAAACAGTTCATCAGTAGAATGGTATAGTAAATATTCGTTTAGCTTACCTTTAAACACCTTAACTAGCCCTTCGAACCTCTAAGATAACAGCCTTTCGACCTCTGACTCAACGTACTGTCTCATTCATTTCAAGACTGAGTGCAAATTATGTGTGGATTGACATTTTAACCAACAACCATGATAAATATTTGGTTATGATTATAACCAACTAGGTTAAAGTTTTAATAAATAGTTGGTATAAAATGTAACCAACTAGGATTGGTTAAAACTTGATTTGTTAAAATGTTAATAAATAGTTTGTTATAATTTTAAGCAACAAGGGTTGGTTAAAAATTATTTTTTAAGATTTTGATAGATAGTTTGTTAAATTTTTAACCAACTAAAGTTGGTTAAAAAAGTTTATCAAATTATACGTTAAAGTTTTAACACATAGTTGGTTCAAACATTAACCAACTAGGGTTGGTTAATGTTTTAACCAACAATTGGTCTATAGGTTCTGATTGACCCAACTATTTGTTAACATTTTTTAACAATTCTGAGAGTGCAGAACCATAAAATACAGAGGATGGACATTTTCGAACACGTAAAATGCAGCTTGGAGCAGGTAAAATGTAATAACTTAATTGATGGGAGTATAGTATGTGTGTGTAGTCAAAACCATGTTAGGGATAGAAATTTTGGAACACGTAAAGTGCAGCTTGGACCAGGTACAATTAATGCAATAACTTGAGTGATGCAAGTGTGTAGTCAATACAATACAATCACACAACGATATAAATTTGGGAAGACGCAAATTCAGTTTGGAACAGGAAAGATGCAATAACTTAATATTGATGCAAGTATGTATAAAGTAGTCAAAACAGCACAATACAAATATAGAAATGCAATAATTTAATCGATGCAAGTATAGATGTAATTAATGTATTCAAAACAATACAAGTGTAGTGAAATACATACTCTAGGCCCTAGCTAGAATCAGTAGTTCAGATGTGCTGAAATAGCCTATATAGTGTAATGATGTACAGCGTGAACACAGCCTATACAGTTCACACGCCGTGCACAGGCACAATGCATATTCATTAGGGGGTGTCGACATTTCCTTCATGTAGTGACGTGCGCAGCACGCTACCATGTTCCAATACATTGCCTACCGAAGATCTATATAGATATCTATGAGTACGTGATAGTGCGCACGGCTCGCGTACCGTAAATGATTGCAAATATATTCAGAGACCCTCCGCTATTCAACGACATGTTTTGTATGGTACATGTAATTTGTACTGTACTAGCTGAACTAATACACATTGCTTGCTCTAAACAAAACAGGGAGCGCCGATTGAAGAAAAAAGATCTCCGTTGATCAGGCTAGATTGGTGAAGATTGCAGTGGATTATTAGGCCTATGCCAGAGCTTGCTCAACTATCTACAATGTTTTGGATGATCTTTGTGCTTATGGATTTATTGGTTGTAGCCGGTGAGTTTCAACAAAATATGGCTCTTTTAGTTTTAGTGTTAATATGGCTCTCATTACAATGCAAGTTACAAGATTACAAAATACAACTTAGGTATTTTATTACGCTAGGGACTGCCTCGACAGAACCTTTAGGCCTATTTGGTTCTCTTGAAGTTTCCAATTTCCTGTTCATTATCTATTTCTTTTATGAAACATGTTTGTTTTTTACTCTTGTCTTTACTTCTCTTTTTAATTATGTATATAAAGTTCAATGTATACTGTACGTCTATCCTACATGTAATTATGTTCTCGATGTACAATGTGTTTTCAATGTACTGTTTTTAAATAAACTTAAATAAATTACATGTAGAAAAAAAAAGATATTATCTTACCACAGTTAGATACGCTTGAATCATTAATGTTAAATATATTGCTATCAACATTTAGGCACCTTATAGATCAAATTTGGGATACCAACATTTTGATATACAAATCTTCTGTATAAATATTTAATTTTACTATTTTTGAATGAATATAAGGCTATTCTGATATATGATTTTAAGATTAATAACTATGTTCATTTGTATATTAAACGATTGAGCAGTCTGTACATAGAGAGGAGAAACTTATAGTGTATTTTTTAATTTAGAAATTACAGATTATTTTGTTACACTTCGAATCCACATTGATCTACATGTACTTCAAAAGTTTCAATTCAAGTAACAATTGTCTGATGCTAAGGGCTTTCAATGTGTTTTTTTAGTGACAATTAGAATATAATATAATATGTGTGTCTGTCTGTTTACGTGCGAATTTCCGACAAATTATGTGTGAGCTGTAAGGTCTGCACGAAAACCTGATCCTGATGGCTATAACGGCTTCTATAACAAAAGTAATAAAGAATGGGCTCAATATCATGTTTTAACTACAGGTCATAGGATTATAAACTTGGTCGGTTGATCATTGATGTACGTGTCACGTACAATGTCTGCTGACTTATTATTTTGTTAATCTCGAACAGATTTCGTTTTCAAGTTGATGAATGTACTTACCCGTATGCCCATTTCCCTTTCTTTCTTTTTTCTCTCTAGAAATGATTCGCGCAACAGAAGTCGAAGTCAGGCAACTGGAAATAGGCACCTCAGGAACGATCCCCTGTGACCATGTGGGAGACGATCCTGAGGTTCGTGTAGTACAGTGGTACAAGAGCAGGAACATTAATGCATTTGAAAACGGCGATCCCAGTCTGGCATCGTGGGTGAACGGTGAAACTAGAAGCCTGTCGAACTACAACATGGAAGATACCACTTTCTCCTTGGTCTTTGAGAAGGCTACGTCGGAGGACGAAGGTCTCTATAAGTGTCATGTGGAAAGTGGAGACTTGTATATTGAGTCAAACTACCTCACCCGTACGGCTGTGTATGGTGAGTGTCATTTTTGTTACAGGACAATTGAGTGAAAGCAAAAAAGAAATCAGGGCCCCAGATTGGTGAACGTTTAAACAAGATCGGATAATGATCAAGAATGTCATGAATGTTTGGAAATCACGATCACGAACATGATCATGATGTGGACAAATCTCCCTGAGCGCCGCCAATTATCCCTGGATTTATCTAGGGATATCTGTCCAACTGACCTCACTGCCAATTATCCCTGGTCGGTCAATTATCCCTGTCACACCGGCTAGAATAGACATGGTATTATGGTACACGTGTACTCGGGCGATATTTATATATCTAGTCTACTGTTACTAGATATACCGATTAGCGGACTATTGACAACCCTACTATTATCAAATTTACTTACTTTAATTTTCAGATTTATGATATAGTTGTACACTTCAAAAGTGTTCAAAACTTTCATTAACATTCACAAACTTTTTCCAAACAATTACTCGCGCACACTCGTTATTTGCATGGCTGGCCGGTCGCGATGTACAATCGATCGAGCTGGCTGCTCTACATAGGGTGACGGAATCACGGCAGCGGCTTATTTGTCATCGGTTTACCCCAAATTCAGAGGGGCTGAAAATGAAGTCTTTATATGTTTATTGTTCAATAACGATATGAAACATAAATTGTATGTGTATGTTTTTGTATTATAAGTCCAATCAGCTTTCCTTTGATGTATAGTTGTATTTTCATCGGAGAAGGTCTTTAACCTAAAACTCGGGCGAAAATTATAAAAGTTGATACAAATTGAAAACAAATCAACCCACTCGATACCCCGAAAACAATCGTAATACAGCTTATTTTCAGTGACATCACGGTGTGAACAATTGGCCGCTCAGCTGATCCGACTGACGACTGTGCGCGATTTAGTTTGTCTGCAAATCACATGTATTATATTGAGTACCGTACCCATTCATACCCGACGTAGTTTACCTTCATCAAAATGCCCTGGAAATATCGATATCGACGAAAACATATTTGATTTGAGTTTTGAGGTGGTTATGGTTCTTAGCTCTATAGATCAATTTTATATCTGTAATTTCTCTTTCAAATAGCGAGTGTAGTATACGGTACGCGTACATGTACGTACGGTACTATACAACCTGCCTGCAGCGCGCACACGATAGCTGGCTTGCCATTGCCAGCCCGGTAATCGAGCTAGCTATGAATCGCGAACCGGACTGATCTCAGTCATCCTCGATTTCCCCTTTCCAAATGTTACATACTAATACGACTTGATTTACCAAATATCATAAATTAATCAGCCTAATCAGACATTAGATCAGCATGAAAATTGTCCTTCGCATTCCCCGATCAGACACATACACGCTAACATGCCCTCAGAATATGTGATTATTTTTTCCCGATTTTTATGCTCAAACGTGACGGAAATAATAACATAAACAATCAAACAAAGATTTGTAGAATTGCCTAAAATAAAGAAAATATCACCACTGGCGATAATCATACAAACTCTTACCTAAAAATTGTAATGGACATCCAACATTTTCCCGAATGTGTTATGTAGGGTAGTTCACACCCTGACGTCACCGTTTTCGCATGTGTTTTATCGCCGTCATTTCACTTTGTGAATGGGTTCTCGAAAGGGTCTCAAAATTGCATTTAATCTATTCCTCACACTAGTTACGGCTTAAAGTAGTTTACTCTTTTTCTTAAGGTTCTCAGTAGTCTGTAGAGGTATAATTTACCTATTTTCAATATTTCTATGAACCTTCTCTTTAAGGTGATATCGGTCACACCACTCTGCAAACTTGCTTACAGTAGAGACATATTTTCACTTGAACTGTCAGTCATAAAACCAAAAAGTACCGTATCATCTGCATACTAGATAATTTGGCAGCTTGAGGAAGAGATTACACATGCAGTTACTAGTGGAGATAGAAAAGAGAACAGGAGAGATGATATACCCCTGATGAGCTCCTATGTTCAGGGTTATAACTTCTACCAAATATAATGCACTAAACAGACAAATCTTTTAGAGAATGAATTATTATACAAGGTGGTACATCTCTAAAGATAGCGATGCATGCAGGAATTTTAATACCTCGGACTTATTCCCATGTTCATATCTCCCAATGTCAACAAACATTATGACTACTGAAATGAGCCATTTTCTATTAAGAAATAAAACAGGCTTTCCTTTGATTCAAAATAAAATAAGCCATTACTAACATAGGGATCTAACAGATATTTTCAGTACTCACTTTTCTTAACATTTTTGGTAGTAATATTACGTGTCAAATTTTCGTTTTGTTTAATTTGTTTTAGCTCTGCCTCAAAAGGGCCCGATGATAACTTTGGACACTGCTTTTAATCGTATTAATTGCACTGTTGAGCACGTGAAGCCAGTGATACACCCGGTGTTCAATTTCGACTACAGTCATGCCAGTACTGAGAAATATGCAGTCCAGCATGAAGACGGAACATACACGACATCGCTCAGTTGCACACTTCCTCAGAACAAGAGTGTATCACAAGTGGATTGTTCCTTTTCCTACTTACACTACCAACGAGTACGATCGTTAGATTTGCCTGATATCACCACTGACAGCCTGGTGGAAAATAGAAGAACGACACTGTCACCTATGAGCACGTCTGTGACATTTGCAGGTGAGATAAACCATGTGTATTAAGAAATTGAAAACAGCAAATGGATTTCCTTTTATATGTGTGTTGTACCACCCGAAAACTGAATTAAAAAACACCTAAAGTGCTGTTTTTTTGTTTTTTTTATATAACGCATCTATTCTTAATCTTTCATCTTTCTTTGACGAAGATGGGTGGTATATTGTTATTTTTCAGAATTGTACAAATGCCAATCGATATTTTTGCATTTTATAAATTGAACGTCTCGAGTTGTTACGATATCTTCGATAAATTCCACAGTTATATACATTACTTCTTTTCCTATTTTTTAGGCGATGGATGTAGAACAATTGATCATAACGCAATCATTGGTGCGGGGATTGTCATAGGTTTTATGACAGTAATCATCTGCTTAATGTTCATCATGTTGAGTAAGTCCAGACATTATATTTTCTCACATCAATGTGTGTTGTATCGTTGTGTGTCTGAGCACGCGCGTGTGTGCGTTTGTGTGTGAGCTACCCTGATTTGTGTTGGTTTCGTTTGCAAAGGACTAACTTACGAGTAAGAAAATGAAGAAAAAAGAAGAGTAAGAAGACAAATACAAAATAAAAAGGAGAAGAAAAAAGAAAAAAGAAAAGAAAAAGTAAATGCAGTAGAAGGACGTCCGTGAAAGGGTGATGGCAGGACAGTGTATACTATGATCTGCCTACGAGCCCACCTCTACGATCCAGCATGACAAACATTTTGCCCTGATTGTTTAATATTCTTAAATGAATTGGTAGATTTTTTTTACGATGGGAGTTCTGAGAAGATTAAAGATTGTTTGTCCACTTGAATAGGAATACATAGCACTTTGCCTTGAAATTTCCGCTTTCTGGTGTACTGCGGAAGACATTCAAAGTTAATTGTCATGTACTATTTAAGGTCTTGTTTCTTCGATTGCTTTTTTCTGGGTTCTAATACAAATACAAAGTTATACATTATTACTTAAGTATTATATAAATAGCAAATTATGTCTAATGATATTATACAATAACCATCTTTGGCACTACCGTATCATATTTTGTCCAAAAGATCGCAAATACCAAACAACTGTCAAATAAAAAATAATCTGACATCTGTTTTTTTTTACCTTTTACTTCTTTTAATTACTACATTCGTGCCTTTTAAGTCGGTCGGAAGTTGGAATTTGTTTTAATAGGAAGAGAATTTGTCCAAGCGCTGGCGTTATCTGTGATACACGTGTTTTATTTCTTACGCCGTAAATTACTCATCATGTAACCATCCATTGTTGTATGAAAATTCCCTTGTTAATCGTTTTTCAATTTCTCTCCTTTGCCATTCCACTTTATTTCTAGTAATGTTAAGGACCCTATCCGATGAAAATACAACTTGATATAAATGTAAAACTGAATGAATGTCGAATACAAATATAAAGCAATAAAAAGTATTTACCCTTTCATTATTGCACAAAAGCAAATTAAAACCACTTTTTCCACACCCCTTCGAATTACGGGTCCACAAGGGTCAAATTTGCCGAAGTTACAGTGACGATAAAACATGTGGACCCCATCGGGTCACCTATAGAGCTGAGGTGATGAGCCGTGCTTAATTAATGCAAAGTCATTGTGAATATGCGGACTCCACATGAGATGATGTCAAGTCGATAGCAAGTTTTTAGGTCGACAACTTCCGATTGTCAAAGCTTTTGATTTTGCGTTTTCAGAGAGCTTCTACTCCTCTGACAGACACTAACTATGGCTTAAAAGCTTTCCATTGATATAAAATTAATCCATTTTATTTTTTTAGTTCGGAAGCGCCCTTTAAAGCCAATATGGATTCGGGACGTGCAAAATTGCAACAAGGCCGAGGAGAGTGAGGAGAATATGATCAAACCTGCTATGCCGGTTTAAGTAACGACATGAGGTGGCATCATTGAATCTTGTAATTTTTAATGAACATATGTCACTACAAATATATTTTTCTAATTTCAAGGTAAATACCATGCAATTGTATTTATATCTCCGTATGTATATTGGCTGTATTATAACTTTCATGTCCGATAAGTATTCTATGTCTTTGTGTACCTCTTCAAAGGACAATTGTTTTAGTTCTTATTGTTAATTGCTTATGATATATGTAACGAATGTGAATGTGAAATATGAAATAAACCGACCTTAAAACTGAACTGAGTCACAATTTACTCCCTCTTCTCCAGCCCTGATCGCTTTGTCCAAGAGAGAACAAAATAGTGCAATATCCCAAAAGAAAGGAAAGGAAATTTTGACTGCGTACTTATTAAGAGTTAAAACAGACAATTACTTTACTGAAGTCGGTGGAAAGAAAGGTTGTATATTTGTATTTTATTATGATTTGCAGGGTGTTTGTGTTCACACTCAAACCACTTGATTGAAGGAGAAATTATCTAAGGGCCAAATTTGCAAAAACACTTAAAAATGCACCCATCTTCAGAGACTGGTTGCCTATTTCCAGACAGAATACAATATCAAAGTCACTCAGAAGAGTGACTCCCTTTGAACAGATCAGACGTAGAACAGAACGGTATATACACAGTCCAATACCATATCTTGAAAGGTTGTTAAATGAATCTTAAATTCTCGGACTGTGCATCTAGAATTGTTTCACTATCTAAATCTTCGGATGTATCAGGGTACATTATATCATCTACTTTATGCATTATGTGTCATGTTATTACAAGAAGAAAAAAAGAGTGTTTCTGCTATATACACTGCATTGTAAATTGATTGATATTTATTTAATAGTTTTTACAAGACGACTATTGATTTCTTACATGGCATTGTAAATTGATTTATATCTTTTTAAACAGAATATCGATGTATATCACTGAAGTTTAATAAATACAATACAATACACTATAACAATACACTATGAAATAAATATAGTCGTCTTGTAAAAACTATTAAATAACTCGATCAATAACTAAATTGTTAACATTTATCTAATTTATGTTTGTTTTACAATAATCTACAAAGAATTGTTTATATTGTAATATTTGTATAATGTGAAATATGGAAACCAATAAACTGAAACTAAAACTGAAACTGAAAGGTTTACAGCAAACAACTGTATTAATTGTACTTTTAAGCCACGAAAAAGAAGATAAATGATGAAGGAGTGTAAAACATACATAAACGAGATAAGGATTCGTCACTCAAGACGAACGAGGTGGTCTGGAGGTTTTTGTAAGGATCTCATATGGAAAGATGAAGAGAGAGAGAGAGAGAGAGAGATGGCCGTAGATAGATATAAAGAAGTAGAAAGAGAAGCGGGGTATAGTCATGTAAAAAATATAAGCTGGACAGAGGGATAAAAGAGGAATCAGAATGCATGCACTTTGAACGAGAGAGGATAGTAAGGAACATGGTAGGGTGAAATAATAATAACAAGAGCAAAGTGAAGACCTAGAGAAAAGTAAAGAACATCCGAGACACAAAAGAGGGAGAACGAGAGCAGGAGGCGGGAAAGGGAGAGAGTAGAGAAAGAGAGGGGCAGAGACAGAGGAAGACAGAGCAAGAGAAGAAGAGGGAGGCAGAGCGAGAGAGGGAGAGGGGGACAGAGAGAGTGAGAGGGTGGAGGGAGGAGTGGAGAGAGAGAGAAAGAGATGCAGACACAGAGCAAGAGAAGGAGAGGGGCGGACCAAGAGAGGAAGGGAAACAGAGCAAGAGAGAGAAGTAAGAGAGAGAGAGAGAGAGAGAGAGAGAGACATGCAATGGAGAACGATGCACTCAATATTTCCAGCATGAACAAATTTGAATATTTACTATAAAGAGAAAGAGAGAAGTATAGACATGTAAACAATTCTAAGTCCGTTGAAGAGACATAAACATTGCATATACTTGGCTAAATACCTGGAAAATGTAAACATCTGAGAAGGAGATTAGCATCATAGAAATGGGACGATTTCATGTTGTAGCACACTTGGCATATTAACCTTATGTAGGTATAATACACGACAAGGAATTAGATTTCTCATCGGGTTGTACGCAAATTATTAACATTCCTCTTCCAGAGATATAGCACCCAAAAATAAGCATTTTATTACATTTTTTGTGATTGTATATGATATGTTATAATTGTCGAAGGAGGAGAAAAAAATCAAATATAAAACGACAGCAAAAACATCATTTATTGATTTATTTATTTTTATTTACCCACCGGGAATCGAACGTGAGTGGCGGAATTGGGAGGCAAGTGCTTTAACCAATAGACCAAAATACTTAACATAGACTTTACATGCAAAGCTGAGAAACGGCCTTGGCATAATCGCAATTTCAACTTTCAATTTAAAAAAATTCGACATGATCCCAACATCTCATCAACAACAACAACAACAACAACAAAAAGTTCATAGCCCATATTCTCAGCTATCACATAACAATATTAGGGAGAATAGAACAAAAATAAGCGAGACACTGCTCAAAGAACAATGTCATGTAGATTCATGATGTGAACGAAATTTACCTTCCATTCATAACACGCAAATTAAGACGATTCTGACACGTCGCCATTAGTCGCAATTTTCAATATGATAACGTCATCCAAACGAAAAATGGTGGACGCACCTCTCGAAGATAATTATCTCTTCTACACTTTACATGTGAACTCACAAACACACACGTACATAATTATACACACATTGGGAACCTTGTTTGTAATATTTCAGACGACGTGCATGTATTTTTGGGTAATGTATAAAACGATTTGGGAGCATTTCCATTCCCTCTAAGTTAGTGAATTAGCAGTTTCCTTCTGTTTTTTCAATTATTTTCATTACTGTTTCAAACCATCGTCTTCTCATTCACATCTTGATATCGACCACGATCGATTATTTGTTCCAGCCCTATTTCACACCTCAAATCTAACGAAATGCCGACGCTTGATTACAAACGAACGTTCGCTTTTTGTTAAAATAAATTACTGTTTTATTTCATGTAATCACCTATCCAAAAAACATCATAACAAACATATACAATATAAAACATAGCGTACAAGTTAAAGAGAAACATTTACAATAAAATACAACAACAAAAATATATATGAATGTGGAGACAGCTAGGAAAGCCAAAGGCTTTATTGGTGCTGCCTCCAAAACAGTAATAAAGTATAATACAGTATTATACTGTTGTTTGAGAAAGAAAAAAAAAAGAAAGAAAAAAGTCTTGCGAAGAGACAGTAAACAGGGAAATTAACTGTTGTGCAGTTGTAAGATCAAGCGGACTGTGTTCATTAGCAAAAGTGCCATCCAGGCTTATTACGTGAGGTAATTTATAGATATTAACCATGTGAACGACATCTATGCATGTATTACTTATGATTTTATAATTTATTAGAAAAGAGTCGATTATTTTGTAATACACAATATCAACGGTGAAAATTCGAGTACTGCGATAAAGGGGAATGTCTAACGTACATTATTATCACTGCATCTACTTTGTGTATATTCTTTTCTCTCTCTCCTCTCTCTCTCTCTCTCTCTCTCTCTTCCTCACTCCCTCTCTCTCTCTCCTCTTCCTCTCTCTCTTTCTCACTCCCCTCTCTCTCTTTTTTTCTATTTCTTTCTCTCTCTCTCTCTCTCTCATTATATCTCTCTGTCACTCTCTCGCTCTCACACACACTTCTCATGTCATCTTTCAGAAATATCAGCTGGGAAAGGTCATAGAGAGTATGTATTCGTGTTTCACTTTAAAATATACATTTACTACGTTATTTAGGAAGGAGTCGAAATTCCCTCAAAGCACGACGCTTGTGGTGAGGTCGCCACAACAAAACAGACATATAATACATATATATATAATTTATAACATCTACATGAAACCTCAATACAAAAAAGAGATAGAGAGGAAGTGTAAGTGTGTATACATGTACAATGTGTATACAGTGAATATATATATATATATATATATATATATATTTATAAGCAAATTTAGTAAAACTGAAATTTCTGATGCTGCTCAACTATAGTAACAAATGTGGATATAGATGTTGGAAAGGTTGAACTTTATTAGTAAGTGTTGTACAGTCTGTTTTACAGTCTGGTGACAATTCGAGTACTGCGATAAAGGGGAGTTTTCAAAGTACTATATTCTGACTACATATATATAAAGATAAATATACATGTGTACGCACACACACACACGTACACACGCACACGTACATGTACACACATATATACACACATTGGGAACGTTGTTTGTAATATTTCAGACGACGTGCATGTATTTCAAGAAAACTGGGGAATTCCACATGCAAAGGCGTTGCATGAAGTCTACCTCACAGGGCTATGGAGCTTTCTTTGTTCACAAACGATTGATGAAGTCCATTCAATAACTGACTGATAGAGCATGCAAAGCAAACGTGACAGGTTGAATGCAATTTTTATCCAGACATTGCAGTTATTTCGTGTCCTTTTTTTTTCCAAAAAAAAAAATAATAATAATTCATTCGACCATTGAATAATATTATTTTGAAATGCTGCACATTACTGGATAAGTTTTGTATGTTAAAAGTGTCAAACAACAGACTGTGTACATGTGGTTGACATTAAGTTCAAATCCAGTTTATTCCATGAAGACATGTTTTATGTACTACTTGGTAAAGTTTACTCAAGGCACAATAGGGCCTCTCCGATCGCTACTAACATAAATAATTGCCAAGGTATTCATCAGTAGAGAAATAATAGGTAAATGTTAGCTGTACAAACTTGCCGAATATCCTCATATTTATGTATCGAGGTGTATGTCTTATCTAGTGTGTTAATTACAACAACAACAAAAATAACTATATTAAAAATGCCTTTTTTGGCCCGCCCTCAAATATTTAGAATAAAATATGCACGTACATTCGTACATGACAAACGACTAGTGCCATAGTGATGCCAAATAAAATTCCGTGATGAATTTGGAATTTGGGTGACGCGAAGCTTTTTATTTCTCAAAAGGTGCCATGGCATTAAAAAAAAGGTTGAAAAACACTGATCTAGTAGTCTGAATACTGGTCCCCCCCCCCTCCCCCCCCCCCCCCCCCCCCCCCCCATTACCGAGCCCATTTTACGCTGGTGGAGAGCCGAGAAACGGTTAATATGCACAGGGCTTCATGGAGCTTTCTTTGTTCACAGACGATAGTTCAAGTCCATACAATGACAACCCACTGAAAGAGCAGCGTCGCAAATGTGATAACATCGACACAAAGACCCCCTGAATATTGAAATACCGTTTCTATGACGGTAAGCTGCGTAAATATCTACATTTGAATGATGTATTTGTATTGGGATAGAAAAAAAAATCAGTATTCCTATGGCATTATCATTTTTTTACTCAATATGGAATATGGATAAGGAGGTAAACATGTCTAAAAAAGAAGAAGCATGTATTGGTTATCATAAAAGTCACTGTATCCCTGTGTATATCAGTATAAATGGTGAGTATACAGTGTTACCGATAAAGTTGGAATAATATTTCCTTGCCTCTTGTCATACCTCCTTGGAATGTTATTTTTCGTTGTTGTTTCTTTAAACTGTATTAATACCAAATCATATTCTCACAATCATTTAATGTAAAAAAAAGTCAAACATGCAAGCGTATTGTGACCACAAGATATCTGGAATCGACTGTAAAAGTTCGATTATGTATCATTTAGACATTTATGTCCCGGCCCCCCCACTCAGGTTTCAAAATGACCGCATGCGTGTTGCCAAAATGTCCTTTTCGTAACAAAAGAAAAAGGTCGAGCCGTATTGACTTTACACACCGGACTTTTGCTGAAAAGGGGGGTCCGGAAAAAGGCTCGTATACAAAAGAAAAAGGTCGAGCCGTATTGACTTTACACACCGGACTTTTGCTGAAAAGGGGGGGTCGGTTGGAACACGCATATGCGTACCCTAAATAACACTGAGTGGGGGGGGGGGCCGGGATTTATGTTTACTGTGAGTTTTGTTCGAGTACACACATATACACTCTTTCACTCCAACCCAACATTTTTAAATACGTAACCTGTCTTCTCATA